AATCAAGCAATCAAATCGATGTGAAGGGGCGTGGATGCAGTAGAGACCCAAAACCCACCTGTAAAATAATTGGATAATCCCTCTCAGAAGGATCACAGGGAAGGGATGATAAATCCAGGGTGATATTTCCTCCCTTTACTAGTATGGTTTTTATTTGTTTCACCTCATTAATCATGTTTGATTTGTGTATGTTCATTTGTATATTTAAGGTCATTCAGTACATGAAATTCAAGATAGATAACTCTTCAAGAACAGTAGCAAGAGTAATGGTTCCCTGAGGGTACGGGAAGAGGGGGGAGGAGGGGAGAATGGGGAGCTAATAGCATTGACACTTATAACCTCGTCCAATGGGACTGAACCACAGAATTTGTATGTGAATGGATATATTGGATTGTGTGAGATATGGGGGATAAAACCTACTATAGAATAAATAAATTAATTAAAGAATAAATGTTCCTGGGGGGTATGGTGGCAGAGGGAGGAGGCAAAGAGGAGCTGATATCAAGGATTTCAAGAAGAAAAAAAATGTTTTGAACTGACCGTGGTAACAATTTTAGAATACTACTTGATGTGATTGAACTATGGAATATTAGGATATCTGTAAGAGCTCCGAATAAAATGCTTAAAGAAAACCACACTATGGAGCATAGTTCTATTCTAATTCACATGGGTTACCATGAGTTGGAGTTGAATCAATGAAAACTGGAGCTGAATAGCATTTCTAAGTTCTAGTGGATGGGAGGAAGAACCTCAGAACCCCGCAAAGTATACCTTGTTGATGTTAGGGAACGGACTCTCAATGCTTGCGCCTACTGACACCCAGCGGTAATTATGTGGCTCATTTTGAAGATATCACAACACCTGTCAAAGCCAACTTCAAGGTCAACCATAATGGTGGTGGTGCAGATGATGATACTAAGAGAGACACCCACTTTAGCCTTTGTGGACAAGAAATTTAAGGATCATGAAAAAAAAAAAAAGCCTGCTTCACACTTACCCAAAACCTGGCAGGCTTCTTGGATAAGCTTAATGGTAATGACATCATCATACACTGTGTATGTCATGAAGGCATCTTGTACTTCTGCAGAAGCTCTGAAAGACAAAGCAAAGGGCAATGAAAATCCACCAACTGGAGCTTACCCCCAGGGAGATACCCAGCAAGCTATAATGCACACCAAGATGCTGGATTGTAAGGAATGTCAGACATGGGAATGTTCTATTGTCAGCTCCTCCAAGAAGAATTCTCCAGGCCCTTTTGTGCCAAGAGCTCCCTTCTCCAGATTCCCACCATAGCCTGTGCATTCCCCCAGCTTATCATTTTAGGCCTCACCCACTAGCCTGAGCTCAAGAGTGGGCACAGCAAAGCCACCCCCCATCCCCACCACAGCAAGTAGCACTGTGTTTGGCCCACAGTAAAAGCTTAATACATAGTCATGAACTTGAAACTGAGGGGTGATGGAGTCTCATTCTCAGAACCACAGAGAACAGCTGCTTCAGCATTTAACTTGGCCTGGCAGCAGCTAACCAAACCTGGTGAAGGTGCTGAACCTAGGAGTCAGAAGCCTTGTGCAATTGCAGCTAGCAATTCAACAGCCATTCAGGCTAGGGATGGCAGGGAAAGATTCCCCTAAGAAAGGAATGTTTAACTGAAGATTGTGGAGGCAAAGACTATTCAGGGCAGAGGAAAATCCTGAGTATTTAAAGGCCTGAGAGAGAAGGCACTATTTTAATTTATCCCAGAACACATCACAGAATCTTGGAATTGGGAGAAATACAAAATCTCTTCAGTGTCCAATTCCCTACCCTCTTGTGGTAGTCAGATAACCTGTTGTCAATTTGAGACTGATGAATGAAGGGCTTGAGTTTAGCCTGTCAATCAGGTCACAGCTTGATAACCTCATTTGGAGCCACTAAGGAGATAAACAGCTCCCTGCGAGGCATTCCTGGGGACTGGACATATGGAGCTGGGCTGGAGCCCTGGAGCTGAAGGAGCCACGTGGAGACCCCTGCCAGTGCTGAGATGCTTCCACTGCCACTGGATCCACAAGACTTTCCACCCACTGGCCTGTGATCTTCCTGCATTTGCTGACATTGCATGTGTTTCCTGAGTCTGAAGAGGAATTTATAAATCCGTATCAGACATATGGGCTAATATCAGACTTATGGACTTGATCTGGACTGGCTGGGATATTTTCTCAATATTCCATTGCTCTTGTATATAAAGCTCTTTCTTAGACACGTATGAGTGTCTAAAAATTTGTTTCTCTAGTCTACCCGGACTAACACATCTCTACTCTCTCAGACTGATGGTCTTCCAGTTTCTTCTAGAGTGTTCCTAGTGACCAGAAACATGCTCCTTAGCTTTTAAAAAAAGTCATCTATATGTGACTAAATGGACAACAATTACTTTAAACAAAAATGAGAATGTAAGGTGGCAGGGAAATTAGATTAATGGAATCAGAGCAACCAAAATGTTTATATATCATTATTGAATAACTTGTGTAGAAATGACTGAGTGGGAATCCAAAATACCATGTAAATGTTCCTTATGCACAAAGTATTACTTATTTCTAAAACAATAACCCAATGGCACTCGGTTGTACTCTGACACACATGGGGTTGCCGAGAGTATGGATTGATGTGGAAGCAAAACAGCTTGACAGAGTCTCACATCCTACCTATGGGTTAGAAGACCTGGGCGGCAATGTTGACTCTACCACAACCTAGCTGAATGAGTTGGGACAAACCTCATGTGCTCTGGTTTCTCCATTTTTACAATGACAGCATTGGATTATGCCACTATTTCTGCGGAGATTTTGATGTTGACCTTCCCAACTTCTCCATCAAGCCCCCAGAGTGTTTTTGTCCTGACCCACTGAGAATGACTGGGGCACTTCATTCTGCATTTCTCAAAGCATGGTCAATATGACAGCAGGCTTCCTAGAGATGTTTGCAGGAGTTCATGAAGTCAACAATAATAACTAGGTTGTCATTTGCTATTTTCACTGGGTAGACTTTGTGCTGACAGTATAAAAGTAACAGTGGGCAGAATGACTGGTAAGGTTGCACAAATAAAGGCAGTGGTGCTGAAGTAGGCTAGTATTCTTAAACAGTCCCAAACCTGCAGGGAAAATGGAAGAAAAGCCAGTTTCACTTCAGATTAGCTTTAGTGAAGCAGTAAAAATGATCAATTTCACTAAACCTCTAACCTGAGTACCTTTCCTTGAAACTTTGATGTAGCAACATGGGAAGTGTGTGTGCAGTACTTGTGCAAAGGAATCATTGATAATGTGACTGAGTTGAGCTACATTATTCCCCTTTGTAATGGACCATCAGAACTACTGATGAATGAACGATGGTTCCTCAAATTTGGGCATTTTGCAGACATTTTCTTCAAAATTGAACAAAGTCAGTCTGTCACTTCAAGGAGAATAACTGACAGAATTGGTTGCTAGTGCTAAAATCCAAGCTTTTAAGTGAAAATTGGAATTTTGGAAAGCTTACATCTGCCACCTTGAACTTAATCACTTTGCAATATTTAAAGGCTTTTCTGAGATGTTGTCGACAAATGTGATTTTTATATTGTACAATGAAACTTGTCAACATTTGGAAGAGCTGCATGACTGTGAATAATATTTTATAAATGATGAATACATGATGTTATAAAATGATGGCAAGAGATTCATTTCTATGTGTAAGGCAGACTAAATGATCTTAATGTAACATAACATGTAACATAACATAACATGAAACTTTTCATAACATGCAAAGTCATCGATATGGTTTCAGATTAACCATTGTAAGAAATCCTTAAAGAAACGATCATTTATTGAGGTTTGGCACAGGATGTCTATAGTCACCTACAAAGATTATTAAAGTCTCTCTTCCTCCTACAACTGCATATCTCTCAGTACATATATTTTCCACCCAAGCCACACATCACAGCAGAGAGAGCACAGGAGATAGAACCCAGATGTGCTCTATTAAGTCAGGCATTAAGGTGAGCTGAAAAGCTGTAAAACAAATGCCACTCTTCTCATCAGTAATTTTTTGCTTGGTTAGTATTATTATCTTTCATAAAACGTGATTTATGTTATTGTGTTTCATCAATGACATTTTTAGATGAACTAATAAATATGCGTTTTTTAAAAGTTATCCATTCTCATTTCTTTCTTTTTTTTTTTTCCATTCTCATTTCTATCACAGTAAATGCCAATACCTAAACTAGAGCTCTTTGGAGTCCTCACTAATTTTTTTTTTGAGCGGGACCAAAAATAACTTTATTTCACTGGGAGGCAGGCAGCTCAGAACTTCTGAAATGGCTTCTTAAAAATATGGAACGCTTCACGAATTTGCGTGTCATCCTTGCGCAGGGGGCATGCTAATCTTCTCTGGATCTTCCCATTTTTGTCTCTGTGCTGGAAAAGCTAGCACCTTCTCTGATTTTTAAGAATATAAAGTCTGCTGACTTCTGGCAAGATGGTGGTTTAGACAGACACAATATGCAAACCCTCTACAAAGATGTGAGAAAACAGATGTGGAAGAAAAACCAGGAGCCCCAACTCTCTGAAGAAAGACTGACACACAAAAAAACCTGCCACCCGGCTGTAAATTGTCTACTGTGTGCCCCAGCCCCCAAAAACACCAGTTCTGCCCATGGCATAGGGCACCCTCACCAGGAGTAAGGTGGCATGTCCCCTTGTTCCCTATACCTTCTGGTTAATAGAGGTGTGCCCAACCTCCATATTCACAAGCCCAAAGAGTGATTACACCCCATACACACCCACACAATCCCAGGGCTACAAAGTGCACTCTAGGGCAGTGGTTCTCAACCTTCCTGATGCCACGACCCTTTAATACAGTTCCTCATGTGGTGGTGACCCCCAGCCATAAAATTATTTTCATTGCTACTTCATCACTGTTATTTTGCTAGTGTTATGAATCATCATGTAAATATCTGATATGTAGGATGTATTTTCATTGTTACAAATTGAACATAATTAAAGCATAGTGATTAATCACAAAACAGTATGTCATTATATACTGTGAAATATTGATTTCTAATGACCAATCAATGAAATGTTGTCTTGAAGCATGGTGTAGCATGGATAACAGTCTTCACGCCGGACACTCATATGTGGGCATATCGGCATGTGGGTGGACCTGCCTGGAGACAGATAGAGGAGCGGTGTTTCAGTTCCTAAGACCATTGGAAATATGTGTTTTTGGATGTTCTTAGGCGACCCCTGTGACAGGGTCGCGCCCCATGGGTTGAGAACCGCTGATCTAGAGGAAAACCAGAGCAGTTAGGAGCAAACTGCCTTGGAGCAAGGGATTGAAAAGACACCACATAGTACAGAGTCTCATCTGGTGGCTGACACAGGAAAAGCAAAACCATCCCTGATTCCCACCATTCCAACACACACACACACACACACACACACACACACACACACACACCAGCAATAGAAATTGACAGAAAGTCACAGGGCAAAGCCTCAATTAGCCACAGTGCATAAGTATACAAGGTAGTGATGTAAAAGCCAGGAGCACTTTCCTCGCTCCCCCAGACTCCTTGATGACCTGAGATCACCAAGGTCCAAATCAGCAGAGGCTGCAACTCTGCAGCATGCTTTGGGGCTACAGAATGCAGGCTGCAAGAAACTCGAGGCCTTTGTGTCACACGAGCTGAGGGGCATGGTCTTGATAAGAACACACTCAAACTGATAAAGAAATACTAAGTTCTTATGCTGGCTTGGGGTTTCTTCTTCTATTGTCCACCATGCCCCCCGCCCCCCGCGTGCCCCCCCCCCCGTGTGTGTGTGTGTGTGTGTGTGTGTGTGTGCTGTTTTTTGTTTGTGTGTTCTTTGTCTCTGTTTATTTTCTCTTTTTCCACTTTCTAGCTCTGCCTGACCAGGTATAATTTTCCCCAAATGACGTAGACATTCTTGTATATCCAGCAGACAAAGCTAGAGCTATCTCCTCCCAAGTAAACAATTTTAAGGGATAGAGGAAATAAGGTAGATATAAAATATTCAAATGGAGTAGAAGTCAAATAGATTTCAAGAGCTAATAGACTAATATAAACTTGG